CACTGAATTTCAGAACTCTGGCATGATATAATAATCAAGGATTTCGAAGGTGAACGAGGGGAAAGGCAGACGCACGTGGATTTACCCTCAGGTTATTATTGTCTGGAGTTCACATTTTGGGGCATTTCATATACTAATTGAACAGAGTTCACCTGCACATGTCCACTTTAGTGATACAGACTGTAACCAAAAATGCAATTAGCTCTTAATCCCTTATAACAACGGTAACAACAACCAGGGTGAGGACACAGTAAGGTTAAACCGTGTCCAACAGACAATCTGAGGTGGCTATCTCCCATCAAGTCAGCTCTGTTTTTAAGCGCATAGTTATGTTTTTACATATTGAAATAAAAGGAATGAAAAAAATTATATTTAACAAACCTACACATTACCAAATACAAAACTGTATAACCCTCTCTAGACTTCGTTCCAATTAACCTGGATCATTCAACTCGCTCGCGAAGGTCGTATGCGACTTTAAAGTGAATACGTCTACAGTGTACAAGTAACTTTTAACTGTATCATATGTACTCATGATAAGCAATTATTTTCGTTCCTAATTCGAATGAGCATATTCTGAGGCTAAATCTGCAAAAGGACAGATAAAATATTTCTTTGTACAATGCAAACGATACAAACGTAGCGGCTGATAATAGAGACAATGATTTAATAATCTGCAATATATCAAGTGTTCTCGTTCAATCTATTGTACATATTGAAGTGATTGTAAAGTTTCAAGGAGTACTAAAATGTTGTGGTATTATGAATGTATTTAGAATATGAATAGCGAAAAACAGTCACCATATCGGATGTACATGTATAACTTGTCTTCCAACACCACGCTTGTGCCGAGGCCCATGGTCATAAAACTAATCGGTCCCATAAAAGGAGCAAATAGTTTCGCAGATACTTCTTGCTATGGTTCACTCACAATTGTCAGACGACCTAATCATCAGTCAGACCAGTCAAGTGTGACCAGCGTACCTGCCTGGTTTTGGCTCCTAATTACTGAACTGCCCAATACTTTCATACTGTGGGCAAAGTAAGCGGCCTCGTTGAGTGATACAGACTAACCAGATTATGATTGTGTTTGTAAGTGCGTTTAATCTGTGTCGGGTTGCAGTTGTTTTATTAGTCAAGACTACGGGTAGTTTTTTCAATGAAACCTTTTAGCCGTTGAGTTTGTTTTGCATTCATTTCATTAAATACATTGTTAGGTAGAATAATAACACGTTATATGGATAAAACATCTCCCTAATCTGAGTATAATCTCACATGTACTCTAAGTACCGTACTATATTACTTTGCGGAGACACTGAGTATAATTTTTTAGTTGGCATTGTATGCTGTCTGAATGACTTTACACAAATCCCTGCATTCAATAGACCCGTGAAGATCTTCAACAAACCATTCTTGGCGTAAAAGGGCGACAGCGCTTGTCGTAAGAAGCGACTACCGGGATCGGGTGGTCAGGCTCGCTGACTTGGTTGATGCATGTCATCGTATCCCTATTGCGTGGATCGATGCACATGATGTCAATCACTGGATTGTCTGGTCCAGACTCGATTATTTACAGACCGCCGTCATACAGCTGAAATATTGCTAAGTGTGGCGTTATACAACTAACAAACAAACAAAACACAAAAAGAGAAAGTGTATGAGTACTAAAACTTGCAATAGATATGCCTACCCTACGTACACACATGTGTCCCATTCGACAGTCTACAACACACGAATAACTGTCAAACAAGTTTGGGTACCCATTCTGTTCAGGCAAGTTATTTAGTTCGATAATTTTATATTAAAATCCTTTTCAATTTGTTTTCATCCTTTTCCCCTATTCCATGCATGTTTATGTTGCTACATCTTATTGCTCATGTTTCCAAGTATTGTAAAACACTTTAATGTTTCTCCTTCTTAATCTAACGTTATAACATTTCCGGTCATTGCCATCATCTAATACACAAGAGATGATACCAAGACATATTTTATTCGGTTTTATGGTCTATGCGGTCTTACAATTGATTTTATTAGTCTTTAAATCTTATGTCTAGTAAATATTTTCACAAACAGGGCTGTTAACTGATATAAGGAATGTAACATCCAGTTGAGGACTGAATACGACGTACGTTAGTCTGGTAACGACATTTCTACAATTAATATTTTGAATAAGCCGTTAATACGCCAGTTGTGACAGGGATGATGGTATGGTAGATGTAGCAGACATATTGACAGCCGTTGTTACGCGAGTCACTAGGTTATTAGTACGGCATTGGCCTTGTTGATTGGTACTATACTTTCTGTGGCCACTGGCGGACGTAATTCAAACTCCTTCCACACTGACATCGCACCAAATATATTTGTGTACCGATTACATAACTCTTACTGACAGGGTAGGGTGGTAGTTCACGCGAAACGGACGACACTGCGTATATTGAGCGGCTCCTTTGATATCGCCTCACAACATACTTTTAATGAATGACAAATTAAACGATGATACACATCAGGATCGCGGAGAAAATACAAGCTTAGTTCGCGTTGAATATATATATCAAGGCACAAATTCATCTTTCATAAACTTTTTGTGTCTTGGTGTTTAATATATCCACATATCAACGAAAATATGTAATACATGTATCCACAAAAATATACATGTACAGGCTAGGTATTTGCCCACAGCAACACCTGCATAACTGTTTATTCACGCGTGGTGTGGCAGATTGTAATTGACCGACAACAAGTATTGTAGAATCACCTGTAAATAAGGCCGACACTGTAATTAGACACAACGTACTAATGAGAATATGAGAATTATCATAAGAAGGCTGTTACGTTTTTCTTAACTATTACCATTTTCATACCAAAAGTGACAATGCAGTTAAAAGTTGCTTTAGTGTCACAATATTCACTCACGTTTTCCTCAATCGCATTGAAACATAATTCCTACTGGTCAGTTCGACACTGCTTGTAATTAAATAATTATTTCGAGATTTCGTTAGAATGTAAGATATTCAGCCAAACGTTATGCAATAAAAGACGAATAGTTTCTTTCATTAAAATACGCGCACGCGTACCTGTCACGTAATTGCCCAGTGTGATGTATCAACGGGTCATAAAATAAGAAATGAAATAGAAACTAACTAAAATTTAATGTTGTACACGCACATGAATTCGTATGATAAACTGCCAAAACGTTTTGAGAGATAAGGCCGGGTTCATTAAAGATGCTGGGTGCGGTTAGGACCAAACTTTTTCAGCTCAGAGTGTTAGTGGTCCTGGAACCCATAGTGTCAAACAGGTTCTGCAAAATACGTCAATCAGATTCTACTGTTCAACAGCATTGTCACTGAATTTCAGAACTCTGGCATGATATAATAATCAAGGATTTCGAAGGCAAAACCTTTTCTCGCCCATGGGCGAAATATTTCAATAAATCTGTAAAATAGCTGAAGTGAGTAAAATTGTGTTACATTATGTGCCATGAAAATAGTTAGAACTCCTGCATGTATTTACGAAACAAAAACATAAGTTTTAAGTAAAGGAAAATATTCTCGCCCATGGGCCAAACCCTTTTCTCGCCCATGGGCGAAATATTTCAATATCGTTATAAAATCGTTGAATTAAGTTAAAATGAGTTAAATTTTGTGTCATGATACTTCAATAAATACATTTAATGTATTCGCGAAACAAAAACATGAGTTTTAAGTAAAGGAACATATTCTCGCCCATGGGCCTGCCCATGGGCCAAACCTTTTTTTTTCGCCCATGGGCGAAATATTTCAATATCGCTATAAATCGTTGAATTAAGTTAAAATGAGTTAAATTTTGCGTCATGATACTTCAATAAATACATTTAATGTATTTGCGAAACAAAATCATGAGTTTTAAGTACAGGAACATATACTCGCCCATGGGCCAAACCTTTTTCTCGCCCATGGGCGAAATATTTCAATATCGCTATAAAATCGTTGAATTAAGTTAAAAAGAGTTAAATTTTGTGTCATGATACTTAAATGAATACATTAAATGTATTTGCGAAACAAAAACATGAGTTTTAAGTAAAGGAACATATTCTCGCCCATGGGCCTGCCCATGGGCCTACCCATGGGCCAAACCTTTTTCTCGCCCATGGGCGAAATATTTCAATATCGCTATAAAATCGTTGAATTAAGTTAAAATGAGTTAAATTTTGTGTCATGATACTTCAATAAATACATTTAATGTATTTGCGAAACAAAATCATGAGTTTTAAGTACAGGAACATATTCTCGCCCATTGGCCAAACCTTTTTCTCGCCCATGGGCGAAATATTTCAATATCGCTATAAAATCGTTGAATTAAGTTAAAATGAGTTAAATATTGTGTCATGATACTTGAATGAATACATTAAATGTATTTGCGAATCAAAAACATGAGTTTTAAGTAAAGGAACATATTCTCGCCCATGGGCCTGCCCATGGGCCTACCCATGGGCCAGACTTCGCCCATGGGCAGGCCCATGGGCCAAACTTCGCCCATGGGCAGGCCCATGGGCGACATAGTCTAAATATTGAGTTTTTAAACAATTTTTTTTTCATTTTTTCTTCCTTGGTATGTTCCCATGAAAACGGCATGTTTAATTTTGAAAATACCTTTAACCGAGACTGGGCAAAGAGCGTAGAGTTTCTGGACTTTTGGGTTTCCAGAATTAAAATGGGACGTGTTAATTATAATTTCATTAAAAATTTGGGGCGTGGGCTGGGATTTTCTTCAAAATGTACGTGAAAGAAATATGCTTCGGACTGTTGAAAGAAACAAAAATTGCCTGCCAATGTGTTTTTTCTTGAACAAAAATTCAGGCTCATAGTTTAACAAAAATAACTTTGTTTTTGCAGCTGTAAAGTATCAATTCTCGATATCTAACATGGAGTTGGCAACCTCATTTATTTGTATCCTGTCCGGTCGGGCAATATGTATTTTACTTTTAACATCAACTTGGGCTAACAATGATCGTGACTTACGGCAGGTGTCTCCTGTCCACTGGGAGGGGCACTGGCAAGTGCAGGTTGCAGAATCAAGCACACCACCATTGGAGCAGGATCGATCACAAGTCTCTGGAGGTAATGAATACAAACGTGTGTTAAAAGTGAATGAAAAGACTGCCAGCACATAATGTCCGATGCAGCAAATATATAAGACTCATTGATAGGACTTAAAAAATAACGGGGGGCGCGGGTGGCCCAGTCGTCTAAGGCGCCGCGATTCGCTGTGCAGAGTTGCGTCCCTTGGGCACGCCAGAAACCTATGTTTGTGGGTTCGAATCCCGGTTCGCCCTGATTATGTTTCTAGGTTTGTCAGCACCATGCTCGTGGGTTTCACCGAAATGGTAAACGTCTGAGACCTGCATCACTTCGGGCTTTCCTCCCACATTAAGCTGACACGCCGCGATATAACTGGAATACTGTTAAAAGCGGCGTTTAACTCAACTCACTCACTCACTCACTAAAAAGAAAAGTATAAGAGATAGTCGGGCAATAACGTACGACAAGATGTTCCCGACCACGGCGCAGTGCAGGAGCAGGAACAGGCTGTGGAGTCGAGGACGCCAGAGTTGGAACACGTCAGGGAGCAGGTGGACGTAGCTGTGGGAGGAACATGTGTGGTTCAGTTTCACACAAACAGGACAACTATCAGACATGGAATCAACCAAGTAGCCACCAACACGTCAAAGAGAAATCGTTGGGATTCACAACTTGCAAACCATAGGTACGGAGTTAAGGTCCCTTTGTTAGAAACATTCCCAAAAGTAGTTGCCCGAAAGGAGTGGTTCCACTGTAAATTTGAATTATCGGAGGGAAGATTCGAGATGAATAAACATTTAACAAAGCCACTATTAATTAAGTAACAGGTTAATCAATTCTTCATGAACACAGTGTGTGACCTACACACAAAAACAAGATCACAGGTTCCACTGAGGGGAATCCCGAGCGCAGTTTTGTCAGATAAACAGGTGTTTGGATGAGGGTATAGTGTGGATGCTTCACGTTCATGTATGGAAAATGCTTCGAACATTTGTAATTCACAGGATTTGTGTGCTATTGTTCTGCATACACGTATGTATGTATATGCGGCATACGGTTGGAACAAGTTTCATAATTGTTGTATGGCAGTGTATTTTATTGTTATTGTTTAAGAGTGATTGTAGCTGTTTGGCATTGTTTTTGTTGGGAATCGGTAGACGCCCATTGCATTGTGTCTGGAGATTGATCAGTCGTCAGGAGGTTACTATAATTAGATGCTAGCGCCGTGTGTAAACTTCCGGTCCGGTATACCGCGGAGGTGATAGTATGTTATGGAAACTTCTTTAATGTTCCAGTGCCGATGAACTGGGGAGAACACTTTGTGGAACGTCCCAGTTGCTGGGTAGGTTGTATATAAGGGAAAATAGCGTGTTTATGTATCTCTCACGCATTTCATCGCTTCGGAACCATCTTTCATGTGCGGATCGCTCATCAACACTGATTCCCTGGCTAACCTATCACGGAAACTTGACCACTGTCGCCGCTGGGTGAATATATATATTATCATCACTGACGTTTGCTATCACCACTGTACTTGTGTATCTGATACTGCCCACTGCTATCATGTATATATACTATCATTGAATGTTGTACTTCCACGCTTTTGTTAACTGCCATTGTAATTGTTTAGCGGTGATTTGTATCGATTTGTAAACTTAGTTAAATTTTGTAATACTTTTGTTGATTGTTTATCGCTTGTTGGTTGTTTGTTGGTTTCACATTAAGTTCATTTACTTCCAGATTTCTAGGTCAACATATTGTTTGAAATTGGGAATCGACAGGTAACAAATGCGAAAGTAAATAGTATGTAAGATGTTTAGACATAGTATTGATTAATGAACTCACGTGTTTGGCATTCGTCGCCGCTGTATCCAGCTGGGCAGCTGCACGTACACTGTGAGGTCACAACTCCACCGTTCTGGCATGTCTGACTGCAGGTGTCTTGAAGAGAAGTGAATATACATTTACGCCGCAATCTTCTATACTCGAACTTTATCCCGATGGCTTCAAAACAATCGACTCTGCGCTACGCAAACCAGGGATTGATAGCGTAAACAACGATCCACCCACTCACCCCCGTCAAACATTGCGACCTTCACACCACGTCAAACATTGTGACCTACTCACCAAGTCAAAAATATGACCTACTCACCACGTCAAACAATTTGACTTCCCGATCAGTTAGCCTTACGACATGCATAGGGTGAGTGAGTGAGTGAGTATGGTTTTTGGACACCGGAAAATGAGCTTCACACATTGAACCTATTTGGGGAATAGAACCTGGGTCTTCGTCGTAACGAGCCAACGCTTTAACCACTAGGCTATCTACATCCCAACGGGGAGAAACAGGTATCTAACTACATAATGTTGTTAATACAGATAAAATGTGCTTAAGGATCAAGCTATAACTTTTACACTTTAGGACCCGTGAAGATCTTGGGTAGAATACTTCATATTTAACACATGCTTGCCGTAAAAGGCGACTAACGGGATCGGGTGGTCAGGCTCGCTGACTTGGTTGATGCATGTCATCGATCCCAATTGCGTCAATCGATGCTCATGATGTCAATCACTGGATTGCCTGGTCCAGTCTCGATTATTTACAGACCGCCGTCATATAGCTGGAATATTGCTGAGTTCTGCGTTCAACAACAAACAAAGAAACGAATTCTACTCTTTCGTGTGCAATGTTTCTACAAACATCACGGCAACAGAGGACTTGACATACCACAGGAGTCCCCGGTCCACTTGGTAGGGCAACTGCACGTGCATGACGCCTGCGACAGAACGCCACCGTTGTTGCAAGTTCTTACACAATCACCTGTAACAGATGAAACAATACAAACATATGTCTGTGACCAGACGAATAAGTCAACTTGCATAGTGAGTCTTTCCGATGACCACTATTGCAGGTACAGCTAGATCAGGTCCTTAAAGGGGACACCGGGTGTCAGTGTAGATGCTAAATCATGACAACAATACGAAATCAGGGGCCTATAATCAGCCAATCAGTGGACAGCTTGTGGGCGTGGCCTAATTGTTTTTCGGTCGATGTTTAACCAAACAAATGCAATGGGGCCACTTGCAATTTATCTATGTATATAGTACCCTCTCCTTTTGAGGGGGCACGGGTGGCCCAGTCGTCTAAGGCGACGCGATTCGCTGTGCAGAGTTGCGTCCCTTGGGAGACCTATGAATGTGGGTTCGAATACCGGTTCCACCCCATTATGGTGTTAGGTTCTACCCGTGCTCGTGGGTTTTACTGAAGTGGTGAACGTCTGAGACCTGCATCACATCAGACTTTCCTCCCACATTAAGCTGACACGCCGCGATATAACGGCGTTAAACCCGACTCACCAACACTCTCCTTTTAAAAACCAAATGTAGTATGTTGTGGGCAGTAATACTGACCACTCCCTTTTAAAAATGCTGAATCTGCCCTTTATTTACATTATTTGGTGTTGGAATACAGAATTGTTACTGCACCAGGGCCATACGTACCCGGATGGGCGGAGACTACTGTACTTACTGCAGGTGGCGCCACTGTATCCGGTAGGACATGCGCATGTGCAGGCCGTGGAATCAAGTACTCCGCCATTGACACAAGCGAGAGTGCACGACGTCGACACTGAAGACATACAACCCGAATGTTTAGTGCCTGTTATGGAGATTAGTATTCAAACGTATTATATACACATCGTTACCACATGGTCGTTAACACTGTATAGCTGTGTCAGGTCATTTCGAATTGTTTTCCTATTAAGTTTTCGTAGAGAGGCAATCGAAAAAGCACTTTCGTTTGAAATAGTGCATTTCGGGAATCAGCTTGACACGAAACTTGGTGCAACTAAAAGTGAGCAATACATGAAAATAAAACAAATAAAACAAATTTAGGACATCGTATAACAGCGGAGCTCGGTTGGGTGCTGTCACTGATTACCTGGAGTCTCGCACTGTGATCCGGTGAATTCAGGGGGACAATTACACAGGCACGGGATGGTGTTCTGGGTGCCCCCGTTCTGGCAGGTTAGACCACAAGCTGTAACAGAAAACCAAGACCAAGCACCTGCAGGTGTATGTACAGCTTTACGACGAACTGGGTTACATTAACCAGATCAAATCATTGAGTTAGTGAGTGAGTTGTGTTTAACGCCGATTTTAACATTATTCCAGTTATATCGCGGCGTGTCAGCTTAATGTGAAAGGAAAGCCCGGAGTGATGCAGGTCTCAGAAGCTTACGACTTCGGTGAAACCCACGAGCACGGGTATGGTGCTGACAAACCTAGAAACATAATCAGGGCGAACCGGGATTCCTAAGGGACACATCTCTGAAGCTAAACACTTCTGGAACCTTCTGTCGAACATCCTCATTACAAGCCACCTACTTGTGGAACATCCCCGTTATAAGCCACCTACTTGTGGAACATCCCCGTTATGAGCCACCTACTTGTAGAACATCCCCGTTTTAAGCCACCTACTTGTGGAACATCCCCATTAAAAGCCACTAACTTGAGGAACATCCCTGTTATCAGCCACGTACTTGTGGCACATCCCCGTTATAAGCCACCTACTTATGGAACATCCGCGTTATAAGCCACCTACTTGTGGAACATACCTGTTATAAGCCACCTACTTATGGAACATCCGCGTTATAAGCCACCTACTTGTGGAACATACCTGTTATAAGCCATCTGCTTCTGGAACATCTTCGTTTTAAGCCACCTACTTGTGGAACATCCCCGTTATAAGCCACCTACTTGTGGGACATCCCCGTTATAAGCCACCTACTTGTGGGACATCCCCGTTATAAGCCACCTACTTGTGGGACATCCTTGTTATAAGCCACCTACTTGTGGAATATCCCTGTTAAATGCCAACCACTTGTGAAACACATCTTTTAAAAGCCAACCACTTGTGGGACATCCTCGTTATAAGCCACCTACATGTGGAACATCCTCGTTATAAGCCACCTACCTGAGGAACATCCAAATCACAAGCCACGTACTTGTGGAACATCCCCATTACAATCCACCTATTTGTGGAACATCCCTGTTATAAGCCACCCACTTGTGGAACATCCCTGTTATAAGCCACCTACTTGTGGATCATCTCTGTTATAAGCCACCTATTTGTGGAACATCCCTGTTATAAGCCACCCACTTGTGGAACATCCCTGTTATAAGCCACCTACTTGTGGGGCACACTCCACACACCACCGGACACAGGTACGGCCAGTTGGAGAACTGTGTGCAGTAGTCGGCCGGGCTGGTGTTGCAGAAGCTCTGGTCAGCTGCAGGACATGTCACTGAAACATGCACAGGTGTGGTATATAACACAGGGCTAATAACTATAACTACAGGTGTGTGACGTCACTGCAAGATACACAGGTGTGGTATATAACAAATGTGTAATAACTATAACTACAGGTGTGTGACGTCACAGAAACATGCACAGGTGTGGTATAAAACACAGGGCTAATAACTATAACTACAGGTGTGTGACGTCACAGAAACATGCACAGGTGTGGTATAAAACACAGGGCTAATAACTATAACTACAGGTGTGTGACGTCACTGCATTATACACGTATGTGGTATATAACAAATGTGTAATAACTATCACTACAGGTGTGTGACGTCGCTGCAAGATACACAGGTGTGGTATATAACACATGTGTAATAACTATAACTACAGGTGTGTGACGTCACTGCATTATACACGTGTGTGGTATATAACAAATGTGTAATAACTATAACTACAGGTGTGTGACGTCACTGCATTATACACGTGTGTGGTATATAACAAATGTGTAATAACTATCACTACAGGTGTGTGACGTCACTGCATTATACACGTGTGTGGTATATAACAACTGTGTAATAACTATCACTACAGGTGTGTGACGTCACTGCATTATACACGTGTGTGGTATATAACAAATGTGTAATAACTATCACTACAGGTGTGTGACGTCACTGCATTATACACGTGTGTGGTATATAACAAATGTGTAATAACTATCACTACAGGTGTGTGACGTCACTGAAACATGCACAGGTGTGGTATATAACAAATGTGTAATAACTATCACTACAGTTGGTACCGTCACTGCAAGATACACAGGTGTGGTATATAACAAATGTGTAATAACTATCACTACAGGTGTGTGAAGTCACTGCAAGATACACAGGTGTGGTATATAACAAATGTGTAATAACTATCACTACAGGTGTGTGAAGTCACTGCAAGATACACAGGTGTGGTATATAACAAATGTGTAATAACTATCACTACAGGTGTGTGACGTCACTGAAACATGCACAGGTGTGGTATATAACAAATGTGTAATAACTATCACTACAGGTGTGTGACGTCACTGAAACATGCACAGGTGTGGTATATAACAAATGTGTAATAACTTTCACTACAGGTGTGTACCGTCACTGCAAGATACACAGGTGTGGTATATAACAAATGTGTAATAACTATCACTACAGGTGTGTGACGTCACTGCAAGATACACAGGTGTGGTATATAACAAATGTGTAATAACTATCACTACAGGTGTGTGACGTCACTGCAAGATACACAGGTATGGTATATAACAAATGTGTAATAACTATCACTACAGGTGCGTGACGTCACTCCAAGATACACAGGTATGGTATATAACACATGTGTAATAACTATAACTACAGGTGTGTGACGCCACTGCAAGATACACAGGTGTGGTATATAACAAATGTGTAATAACTATCACTACAGGTGTGTGACGTCACTGCAAGATACACAGGTGTGGTATATAACAAATGTGTAATAACTATCACTACAGGTGTGTGAAGTCACTGCAAGATACACAGGTGTGGTATATAACAAATGTGTAATAACTATAACTACAGGTGTGTGACGTCACTGCCAGATACACAGGTGTGGTATATAACAAATGTGTAATAACTATAACTACAGGTGTGTGACGTCACTGCCAGATACACAGGTGTTGTATATAACAAATGTGTAATAACTATAACTACAGGTGTGTGACGTCACTGCAAGATACACAGGTGTGGTATATAACAAATGTGTAATAACTATAACTTCAGATGCGTGACGTCATTTATCGCATAACTAGAGATACAATGCAGTGACAAGAGTCTAGGTGTAATATAAAGAGATATAGCTTACAGTTCCTGGTTTAAAATCTTGTTTAAGATGTTTATCAGTTTTTTGTTTACAACACAAATCATGGCATCAGCTTGTGTGCATTACACTTACATGTCTCACATGATCCCCCTGTGAAGTAGCCGCCATCAGGGCAGGTGCACGTACAAGTCGCTATATCAAGCTGTGCGGAATTCAAACAAACTCTGTCGCAGGCTACAAAGAAAGCAAAACCCAAGATTTTGAATTTATAAACATTGAAATAAAAAACAATATTCACGTTCAAATTAAGTATGAAATCCTAGATGTTATTGTGCTTTGGTCATGCTGTGACTGTCTGCTTGATATTGCAAGGCCGTCATCTCGACAATGCGACAGCGTTACGATGTCCCTAGGATTCCATGTTAAGTACTTTCAACAACCTCCTCATACGTATCACGTGCCAAATGAATCGGACAACGAACACTGGTGAGCTGAGAACTCCTGCTTTTGGTTTAACGCCGATTTGAACAGTATTCCAGTTATTTCAGGACGCGTCAGCTTCATGCGGGACGAAAGAATGAAGGGATTAATTCTTTTACGTTTACCCACGAGCACGGATATGGTGCTGACAAAACTAGAAACAAAATCAGGTCGAAACGTGATTTGAACCCACAATCATGGTTTTCAAGGTACGCAGCTCCGAAGGGCGATTCGGGGCGACTGATGAACACCCGCAGCCCTTCTACTCTTAACAAACGCCCAACCTAGTAGAAGTAGTAGAAGGCATGAAACCCGTTTAAAAATATGTTCAGTGAGTGAGTGAGTGAGTCGGGTTTAATGCCGCTTTGAAAGGTATTCGAGTTACATCACGGCGTGTCAGCTTAGTGTGGAAGGAAAGCCCGAAGTAATACAGGTCTCAGAAGCTAGCCCCGTTGGTGAAACCCACGAGCACGGGAATGGTGCTGACATAACAGGAAGGAATTACTTTCAGATGACGAGGTCACCGTTGCACATTGATGTACACATAATTTAGTTACACAATGACCGCAGCACTGGTTAGTGAATTTGAATCATGGCCTACAAATGGTTAAGTGGTATTAGCAGACTGGACAGGCTATGTCACAGCACGTAACACCATGGCATTTATATAGATGAGATGTATAATAATTAATTAGCTCTCAACGTCGTTGTCAGCAACATTACAACTACATCAACGAGTCCTGTACGTACTATAATTTGAACCATACAGACTAGTGGTCAATATTGTGAGCACAGAACAGTCATAATTATCAAATATTGCGATTGTGATTGTAAAACGACATAAACATATTTTCGTTTATGATATGTTTATAGCCTAATTCACTCACTCACTCACTGATGTGTTTATATCTACAGATCACTGCTAGCATAATGACGTGAGATCCAGCGAATGGATTCCAGCTTACTGCAGAGTCCGGTGTTGGGGTCTCTCTCCGAACACGTGGCGCAGGTTGTAGTCGCGTCGGTGGTGGAACAGTATGGCTTATTAATCTCATCGGAGAATTGTCTGGGGATAGAATTTAAGAAACAGTTTAATACTCGAGCTGATTCACTGACAGTACATCACAAGGAGCCTATGCTTGTCGTAAGAGGCAATTTACCGAATCGGGTGGTCAGATTCGCTGACTTGGTTGATGCATGTCATCGTATTCCAATTGCGTAGACCCGTGAAGATTCCGGGGTAGAATAGGTCTTCAGCAACCCATGCTTGCCGTAAAAGGTGACTATGCTTGTCGTAAAAGGCGACTAACGGGATCGGGTGGTCAGGCTCGCTGACTTGGTTGATGCATGTCATCGATCCCAATTGCGTGGATGGATGCTCATGATATCAATCACTGGATTGTCTGGTCCAGACTCGATTATTTACAGACCGCCGTCATATGGCTGGAATATTGCTGAGTGCGGCGTTAAACAACCAACCAACCAACCACAACCAACCATTTGCGTAAATCGATGCTCATGATGTCAATCACTGGATTGTCTGGTTCAGACTCGATTATTTACAGACCGCCGTCATATAGCTGGAATATTGCTGTGTGCGGAGTTAAACAACAAACAAACAAACCAGCATCACGAAAATATGAGCATTGTGACAATGGTATGTTTACTGTGCTGGATGTCGGTATACGCTCCAGTCAGCGACTTGCGGTCTTCGCCTTAGTGGCCGCCGCTTTACAGACATAATATAATTCCTGTCTCTACTCCACATGATGACTGAATTCTTGTCTCTGACAGGAGATAATTTGGAACCGCAAGACATTTCCTGGAATACCGTAACCTAGGGCGGAATGTCCCAGAATAATGTAACCTCGGAGTGCCCTAGAGTATTGTAGCCGAGGATAAATCGTCCTAGAGTATTGTAACCAAGGATAGTTCGTCCTAGAGTATTGTAACCAAGGATAGTTCGTCCTAGAGTATTGTTAACGAGGGTAGTTCGTCCTAGAGTATTGTAGTCGAGGGTAGTTCGTCTTAGAGTATTGTAGCCAAGGATAGTTCGTCCTAGAGTATTGTAGCCGAGGGTTGAGTGTACTTGAGTATTGCAGCCGAGGGTAGTTCGACCTAGAGTATTGTAGCCGAGGATAGTTCGTCCTAGAGTATTGTAACCGAGGGTAGTTCGTCCTAGAGTATTGTAGCCGAGGGTTGTTCGTCCTAGAGTATTGTAGCCGAGGGTAGTTCGTCCTAGAGTATTGTAGCCGAGGGTAGAGTGCCCTAGAGTATTGTAACCGAGGATAGTTCGTCCTAGAGTATTGTAGCCGAGGGTAGAGTGTCCTAGAGTATTGTAGCCGAGGATAGTTCGTCCTAGAGTATTGTAGCCGAGGGTTGAGTGTACTTGAGTATTGCAGCCGAGGGTATTTCGACCTAGAGTATTGTAGCCGAGGATAGTTCGTCCTAGAGTATTGTAACCGAGGGTAGTTCGTTCTAGAGTATTGTAGCCGAGGGTAAAGTGTCCTGGAGTATTGTAGCCGAGGAAAGTTCGTCCTAGAGTATTGTAGCCGAGGGTAGTTCGTCCTAGAGTATTGTAGCCGAGGGCTGAGTGTACTTGAGTATTGCAGCCGAGGGTAGTTCGACCTAGAGTATTGTAGCCGAGGATAGTTCGTCCTAGAGTATTGTAGCCGAGGGTAAAGTGTCCTGGAGTATTGTAGCCGAGGGTTGTTCGTCCTAGAGTATTGTAGCCGAGGGTAGTTCGTCCTAGAGTATTGTAGCCGAGGGTAGAGTGCCCTAGAGTATTGTAACCGAGGATAGTTCGTCCTAGAGTATTGTAGCCGAGGGTAGAGTGTCCTAGAGTATTGTAGCCGAGGATAGTTCGTCCTAGAGTATTGTAGCCGAGGGTTGAGTGTACTTGAGTATTGCAGCCGAGGGTATTTCGACCTAGAGTATTGTAGCCGAGGATAGTTCGTCCTAGAGTATTGTAACCGAGGGTAGTTCGTTCTAGAGTATTGTAGCCGAGGGTAAAGTGTCCTGGAGTATTGTAGCCGAGGAAAGTTCGTCCTAGAGTATTGTAGCCGAGGGTAGTTCGTCCTAGAGTATTGTAGCCGAGGGTTGAGTGTACTTGAGTATTGCAGCCGAGGGTAGTTCGACCTAGAGTATTGTAGCCGAGGATAGTTCGTCCTAAAGTATTGTAGCCGAGGGTAAAGTGTCCTGGAGTATTGTAGCCGAGGAAAGTTCGTCCTAGAGTATTGTAGCCGAGGGTAGTTTGTCCTAGAGTATTGTAGCCGAGGGTAGAGTGCCCTAGAGTATTGTAACCGAGGATAATTCGTCCTAGAGTATTGTAGCCGAGGGTAGAGTGTCCTAGAGTATTGTAACCGAGGGTAGTTCGTCCAAGAGTATTGTAGCCGAGGGTAGAGTGTCCTAGAGTAGTGTAGCCTAGGATAGTTCGTTCTAGAGTATTGTAGCCTAGGATAGTTCGTCCTAGAGTAATGTAGCCGAGGGTAGAGTGTCCTAGAGTATTGTAACCAAGGATAGAATGTCATTGACTATTGTAACCTCGGGTAGAGCGTCGTTGAGTATAACCGAGGGTAGAATATTCAGGAATAGTGTAACACAGGGTCGCATTTTCCGGAATATTATAACCTAAGGGAGGATGTCCTAGAGTACTGAGCACTAGATGATGGATAGGACTTGTTGTACCTCATGAGCAAAAGAGGACTATGAGTTCACTTAACACCCAATGATTCACGTATAATCAAATGTTGAACATCAAGAATAAACGAAATTCCTGAAGTCACAGAGCCGTCTAGGTCGAAAGGAGGCACTCTTATTTGTTACATGAAGGGCGAGGTCGTATGTATTACCGTTGTGTAATATATTACACAGTTATAAGAAAGGCCTGTTTCCTAACCCTCACAATGGATAATCAGTGTTAAACCCTTTTCTTGTGTCTCATGTAGTAGTACTAAAAGCTGCGATAAAACATATTTAGAAATTACTCACTCACTCAAGCGGGCAATGAGGTCGCGGGACTATGGCTGCATGATGAGGAAAGTGAATGTGTGTTTAGTCACTGGTGTTAGTCACTGGTGCTAGTCACTGGCGTTAGTCACAGGTGTTAGTCACTGGTGTTAGTCACTGGTGCTAGTCACTGGTGTTAGTCACTGGTGCTAGTCACTGGTGCTAGTCACTGGTGTTAGTCACTGGTGCTAGTCACTGGTGCTAGTCACTGGTGTTAGTCACTGGTGCTAGTCACTGGTGTTAGTCACTGGTGCTAGTCACTGGTGTAAATCACTGGTGCTAGTCACTGGTGCTAGTCACTGGTGTAAATCACTGGTGTTAGTCACTGGTGTTAGTCACTGGTGCTAGTGACTGGTGTTAGTCACTGGTGTTAGTCACTGGTGTTAGTCACTGTTGCTAGTCACTGGTGCAGATGAATCACTGACGTGAATTACGTAGATGTGTAAATGTAACTGGTATCATCATACATTTTTTGTTTGTTTGTTGTTTAACGCCGCACTCAGCAATATTCCAGCTATATGACAGCGGTCTGTAAGTTATCGAGCCTGAACCAGACAATCAAGTGATTGACATCATGAGCATTGATCCACCAGTTGGGATACGATGACATGCATCAACCAAATCAGCAAGCCTGTCCACCCGACCCCGTTAGTAACCTCTTACGAAAAGCATATTCGTCTTTTACGGCAAGAATGGGTTCCTGAAGACCTATTCTATCCCGGATCTTCACGGGCCTATCATCATACAACTTGATTATGTTTTTGTGTCTGTTGTCTATCGCCGAACTGAGGAAGATTACAACTATATGATGGCTGTCCCAAAAATCGAGTCTGGACCAGACAATCCAGTGATTGACATAATCGATCATTACGACAAGCATAGTCACCACTTACGACAAGCATGGTTAGCTGAATATCAATCCTAACCCGGATCTTCGCGGGTCACATGAATATGGAGTGTTAATGGAAACTTTTCATTGTGAGAGGAAAGTTTATGTATTAATGTTATACAAGAAAAAGCGTTGCCGGCGTAAATTAATGGAGAAGACGGGGAGACAAATTATCGTACCGTTTTTTTAAAATCACGACATGAAAGAACAGTGAAAACTCGTTAGTCCAGACCCCGTCAATCCAGACCCGTAAATCCTGACCCCGTCAATCCAGATCCTGTTTTTCCACACCACGGTAACCCACACGCTGTCAGTCTAGACACCGTTAGTCCACACCACGTTAACCCACACACTGTCAGTCTAGACACCAAAGAGACAACACCACGGTAACCCACACACTGTCAGTCTAGACACCGTTAGTCCACACCACGTTAACCCACACACTGTCAGACTAGACACCGTTAGTCCACACCACGTTAACCCACATACTGTCAGTCTAGACACCGTTAGTCCACACCACGTTAACCCACATACTGTCAGTCTAGACATCGTTAGTCCACACCACGTTAACCCACACACTGTCAGTCTAGACACCGTTAGTCCACACCACGTTAACCCACATACTGTCAGTCTAGACACCGTTAGTCCACACCACGTTAACCCACATACTGTCAGTCTAGACATCGTTAGTCCACACCACGTTAACCCACACACTGTCAGTCTAGACACCGTTAGTCCACACCACGTTAACCCACATACTGTCAGTCTAGACACCGTTAGTCCACACCACGTTAACCCACACACTATCAGTCTAGACACCGTTAGTCCACACCACGTTAACCCACATACTGTCAGTCTAGACACCGTTAGTCCACACCACGTTAACCCACATACTGTCAGTCTAGACATCGTTAGTCCACACCACGTTAACCCACACACTGTCAGTCTAGACACCGTTAGTCCACACCACGTTAACCCACATACTGTCAGTCTAGACACCGTTAGTCCACACCACGTTAACCCACACACTATCAGTCTAGACACGGCTAGTCCACACCACGTTAACCCACACACTGCCAGTCTAGACACGGCTAGTCCACACCACGTTAACCCACACACTGTCAGTCTAGACACGGCTAGTCCACACCACGTTAACCCACACACTGCCAGTCTAGACACGGCTAGTCCACACCAATCATGCATCAAGATATGTAATAAATCTAAAATCTTCTGTCCGGATTAACAGATTTTCTGTATTGTAAAGGGTGAACTGTCTTACCCTCTGGCGTAGTTACACACGTAGTAGTTGCCGTTACTGCACGTGGCCTGCCCGCACCCGATGCGAATCACATCGTCGTTTATGATCTAAATACAATAAACATCTCTGTACTGATGGAACAGTTTATACAACAGCAATGACGTGAAAGATACAGCATAGCAAATAACATTATACATTTCAAAAACAACGTCCGTAAATGACTTCGTTTCTTCAATAATTACAGCGACGCTATTGAACTTCACTCTCTGCAGGTCGTGCAGTGATGTTGGTGGTGTAGTGATGAAGTTGGTGGTGTAGTGATGTTGGTGGTGTAGTGGTGATGTTGGCGCTGTAGTGATGTTGGTGGTGTAGTGATGAAGTTGGTGGTGTAGTGATGTTGGTGGTGTAGTGATGTTGGTGGTGTAGTGATGTTGGTAGTGTAGTGATGACGTTGGTGGTGTAGTGATGTTGGTGGTGTAGTGGTGATGTTGGCGCTGTAGTGATGTTGGTGGTGTAGTGATGAAGTTGGTGGTGTAGTGATGTTGGTGGTGTAGTGATGTTGGTGGTGTAGTGATGTTGGTGGTGTAGTGATGACGTTGGTGGTGTAGTGATGTTGGTGGTGTAGTGATGAAGTTGGTGGTGTAGTGATGTTGGTGGTGTAGTGGTGATGTTGGCGCTGTAGTGATGTTGGTGGTGTAGTGATGATGTTGGTGGTGTAGTGATGACGTTGGTGGTGTAGTGATGTTGGTGGTGTAGTGGTGATGTTGGCGCTGTAGTGATGTTGGTGGTGTAGTGATGAAGTTGGTGGTGTAGTGATGTTGGTGGTGTAGTGATGTTGGTGGTGTAGTGATGTTGGTAGTGTAGTGATGACGTTGGTGGTGTAGTGATGTTGGTGGTGTAGTGGTGATGTTGGCGCTGTAGTGATGTTGGTGGTGTAGTGATGAAGTTGGTGGTGTAGTGATGTTGGTGGTGTAGTGATGTTGGTGGTGTAGTGATGTTGGTAGTGTAGTGATGACGTTGGTGGTGTAGTGATGTTGGTGGTGTAGTGATGAAGTTGGTGGTGTAGTGATGTTGGTGGTGTAGTGATGTTGGTGGTGTAGTGATGTTGGTAGTGTAGTGATGTTGGTGGTGTAGTGATGTTGGTAGTGTAGTGATGACGTTGGTGGTGTAGTGATGTTGGTGGTGTAGTGATGAAGTTGGTGGTGTAGTTATGTTGGTGGTGTAGTGGTGATGTTGGCGCTGTAGTGATGTTGGTGGTGTAGTGATGAAGTTGGTGGTGTAGTGATGTTGGTGGTGTAGTGATGAAGTTGGTGGTGTAGTGATGTTGGTGGTGTAGTGGTGATGTTGGCGCTGTAGTGATGTTGGTGGTGTAGTGATGAAGTTGGTGGTGTAGTGATGTTGGTGGTGTAGTGATGTTGGTGGTGTAGTGATGTTGGTAGTGTAGTGATGACGTTGGTGGTGTAGTGATGTTGGTGGTGTAGTGATGATGGTGGTGTAGTGATGTTGGTGGTGTAGTGATGTTGGTGGTGTATTGATGTTGGTGGTATAGTGATGTTGGTGGTGTAGTGATGTTGGTGGTGTAGTGATGTTGGTGGTGTAGTGATGTTGGTAGTGTAGTGATGACGTTGGTGGTGTAGTGATGACGTTGGTGGTGCATTGGGGACGTTGGTTGTGTAGTGATGTTGGTGGTGTAGTGATGTTTGTGGTGTAGTGATGTTGGTGGTGTAGTGATGTTGGTGGTGTAGTGATGTTGGTGGTGTAGTGATGACGTTAGTGGTGTAGTGATGACGTTGGTGGTGTATTGGGGACGTTGGTTGTGTAGTGATGTTGGTGGTGTAGTGATGTTTGTGGTGTAGTGATGTTGGTGGTGTAGTGATGTTTGTAGTGTAGTGATGTTGGTGGTGTAGTGATGTTGGTGGTGTAGTGATGACGTTGGTGGTGTATTGATGACGTTGGTGGTGTATTGGGGACGTTGTTGCGATTACGTTGGTGGTGTTGTGATGGTGGTGGTAGTGTAGTGGTGTTGGTGGTGTAGTGATGATGTTGGTGTTGTTACGATTATGTTGGTGGTGTTGTGATGACGTTGGTGGTGTAGTGATGACGTTGATGGTGTAGTGATGATGTTGTTGCGATTACGTTGGTGGTGTTGTGATGATGTTGGTGGCGAAGTGATGATGTTGGTGTTGTTACGATTATGTTGGTGGCGAAGTGATGTTGGTGGTACAGAGATGGAGCTTGGGGTGTAGTGATGCTGATGCTGAGGTGGCGTTGCTCACTGACCTGTGTGTGGTGGCCCACTGCTTCCCCAGTGGTGGATCCTGTCCCGTACTCGAACCAGGCCTTCTCTCCCTGCCATCCATCTGTTATAGCGCTGAGAAAGTCGCTGTAACCCCAGGCCACGTTCTGACCTATGGCCACACCAGGGATTGCTGTGAAGGAGTGAGTGCATTGGCTTTTAACAGTAAATCAGTCAAATAACGGCGAGTTAGGGTGACATGTTTTTTAAAGGCAGTGACGCCGGTCTTAGCCATTGATCCCTTTGGTGGACAGCGATCTAACCTACCCAGCCATCGAGGCTTCCACAAAAGGAAGGTCCGACAACTAGTCCTGGATGGGACTCATCCCAAAACACTTCTAGAATCTGTACTTAATGTGTATGCAACAGTTGTTAGATTTGACCACTTTCTAAATGGCATTTAGTGTTCCTAGCTTTCGGCCATGGGAGCCGTGCCAATTTATACTTGTCAGAGGGGTACACAAAGTACAACTACCACTTGTCGGACTACTTTTTGTGAACGCCTCGGTGGCTGAGTGGGTTAGATCGCTGACTTTGTGTGCTGGCGATTAGGTGCCTCACTCTGGCAGTGTGGGTTCGAATCCCGGACGGGACTCAACCCAAAAAATACAAGAATCTGTACTTTACTAACAAATGTTATCCCAAACATAACATTTGTGACATTTTATAACTTTCTTAAAGGCATTTTGTGTTCAATGTGGGATTAGAACCAACGTTGACCGGATCCTTGCAACGCTAAGGAAAGTAACCTTTTAGTCGAAGATTTCCAATACCTCACCAGTTTGCTGACAATAAAAGGTTTCTTGACATTCAGAAGACATCCATAGAACTGATCGCAAAGAACCGATTCCTCCAACAACCGTAATGACACAGTCATGTGCTATATTTAGCGATTTTGTGTTTGTCTGCTGCTTAACGCGCACACAATATAACGGCAGTGTAAATACTCGAGTCTGGAACAGAAGATCCAGTGATTGATATGGTGAGCAACGTTTCACGCTGTTGCGGTACGATGACGCACAATCAATTTTTACCGACCCTGGTTACCCAATCCACACATGTAGTGCATCCACAAAGTCAGCGCGTTTGACCACCCGATCCCGTTAGTCGCCTGAAGACCTATTCTCCATCCGCGTCTTCACGGGTAGGATGAGGAATCTATTGACATAATGATTACAAATCCTTTTATGAAACCAACATCCTGAATAATGCTTGATTCTAAAGTTCTCTCTTGAAGCAAAGTGGTTGCACACTGTAGCTATTGTTACATATAAAAGTCAGCCAAAATATATTTTGATGTATTTGTGCGGCATAGTAGTCATATAACCGTTCTTTGGTTCAAGTAAATCAACATTTCTGTCATCACTGCTGTAGGTTTAGCCTGTTGAATATTTAATCTCAGCCTCATTCTTGAAATCACTCGGTTCAAGTGCACACCTAACCAAATGTTCCACAAATCTACACTACCCGTGAAGATCCTGGGTGGAACAGATCTTCAGCAACCCATGCTTGCCGTAAAAGGTGACTATGCTTGTCGTAAGAGGCGACTAACGGGATCGGGTGGTCAGGCTCGCTGACTTGGTTGATGCATGTCATCGTATCCCATTGCGTGGATCGATGCTCATGATGTTAATTACTGGATTGTCTGCTCCAGACTCGATTATTTACAGACCGCCGTCATATAGCTGGAATACTGCTGAGTGCGGCGTAAAACAGCAATCCAACCAACCCATGTCTACAACACGTGTCTCTCGACAGTAATATGTTCTCATTGAACAACAGTACACATAACGGAGGCGAAATGAGTGTGGTACCAACGTTTATTTGGTACCAGCGTATCCCCGACTGGCCAATAACAGATTGATTATTTATGTACTTCCGCATTCCACACCCATCTCTCCCTTGTACAAGGCGGTGGTAACTGTAACACTATTTTACACATATAAATGAAACGTTTCTCTCGACCCTATGAACAGATACAAGAGACCTATTTCAAACACCGGACAGTTTCATGGTATGTTTATACTTAAGGCTCTCTTAGAAGATGGGGGTGTCGAATATGCTTGTCGTAAGAGACGACTAACGGGATCGGGTGGTCAGGCTTGCTGACTTGGTTGATGCATATCATCGTATCCCAATTGTGTGGATCGATGCTCATGATGTCAATCGCTGGATTATCTGGTCCAGACACGATTATTTGCAGACAGCCGTCTTATAGCTGGAATATTGCTGAGTGCGGCGTTAAACAACAAACAAACAAACAAAACAAATCTGCACATTTAGTCAACATACGAGTTAAAATTTGTACATGTACAATAACGAAATTAACTTCAACTCCCAAAACAAGTTATTGCTGAGAAAGAGCTCGAATACATTGGGAAATATTGTTTACACACAAAAATGAAACATAAGTTGTCAATGCAAGAGAATAACCAGCCAAGATTCTCTGCCAAAACAGATTCCACTTGGCGTAAAGGGCAAATAACTGTGGAAATTATAAAAAAATGGACCACTAAACACCAGTGATGACACCAGGTGTGCGCGAAAAGGGCGAGCATATCCTGCCCTACCGACAGCACCAGCTGCTCATACAGTTTGTAAAAACAATATTGCTTGACACAACAAAGCAGTGCTCCTGCCCTGCGACAGATATCGATAGGCCCAGCTTAAACAAGTTAAAAACTAGCTTTAATCAGATGTATCGGCGCTTTAGCCCACTACGTGGTACAGAGATCTGGACATTTCTCGACTAAATGAGGCAGTATCCTGATTATGAGTAATAACTTAAAATCTGGATCAGATTCGAAAAACTCAAATGTTCTTTAACAAAGTGTAGATTATTGCTGATATACTGTATGAGCAATGCGTGTGACGTTGACCGGTACTTACCACTGGCAGCTCTCATTGTTCCCGATGCCTCATGTCCTGCCGTACACTGGCGCGCCCACTTAGCAGCAATAACAGCAACTTCCTCGTCCCAAGACTGGAAAAAATATCTTATAGATAGGATAGGATATTTTTGGTTAGAGTTTAAAAAAACCAATTTCCTTCTGTGAGAGGAGGAACCAATCAATGTTATTTTATCCGTGACAGGGGAACCAAGCAATGTTATATTTTCTGTGACAGGACCAAGCAATGTCATATTGTCCGTGACAAGGGGAAAAAGCAATGTAATATTTTTTGTGAGAGGAGAAACAAGCAATGTATTGTATTTGGAGGAGGAACCAGGCAATGTTATATTGTCTCTGAAAGGAGGAACTAAGCAATGTCATATTGTCTTTGAAGGAGGAACCAAGCAATGTAATAATGTCAGTGACAGGGGGAACCAAGCAATGTAATATTGTCTTTGAAGGAGAAACCAAGCAATGTAATATTGTCCGTGACAGGAGAAACAAGCAATGTAATATTGTCCGTGACAGGGGGAACCAGTCAATGTTATATTGCCTGTGAAAGGAGAAACAAGCAATGTAACATTGTCCGTGACAGAAGGAACCAGGCAATGTCATATTGTCTGTGAGAGGAGAAACAAGCAATGTAATATTGTATTTGGAGGAGGAACCAGTCAATGTAATGTTGTCTGTGAAAGGAGGAACCAAGCAATATATTATTAAATATTTTCTGAGGACAAATCTGAGGACAAATTATTTGTTTCTAACACAAATTAGATTCTTCACAAAATCCCAGGCCCCCATAGCAAATGGTCGATCACTAAAAACAACTTAACACAGAAAGTTCCAGGAGAATATGTCATCAACCATTGTGTCCAGCCCAAACTGTGGTATGTGTATATTGTCCACGAGAGTGAGAATTAAGATATGTGAGCACCATGTCCCGATATTCCCTATGTAAGGGAAGTATTTGACTGGCATTTAGAAGTAGAAGTTCATGAAGTCATGAAACTTATCATCTTCCCGAGGCAAGGGAGTTAACTGGCGATAAAAGTCGAAGTCAGTTAACGCCCTTGCCTCGGGAAGATGGAAACGAGTATGTACGAAACTCCTTTTCAGTCTTCATCTGATGACGGGCAAGAAGTAGGCCAGAACACTGTTACAAACAATAACGAAGTTGTGACCCATGCCATGTCTCCCGTCACAAGTGTTCCTTGTGATTTATCATCCAAACTGGCTCCGTGAAATTACATCACAATGCTTTGCAGACCATTGTGACGTCACTGGTTACCACACCACACTCGTTGATAAAAGTGGCAAAAATCCTCGGCAAGCCTCGGAATTTTTCCACTTTTATCAACTCGTGTTGATATATTTGATATCAAAAGACACGAGGGTGAGATTCACTATATACCTACCACCATAGGCATGCTAGCAGCAGTTGTCTCCTCCTGTCTGTGCTGGTTATGTCTGTCCACGATGTTTTGTATGTCCTGAGCTGTGAGGACCACTTCAGAACTTCCGGCAGCGTCTGTCAGACACATAGTATGGTCTGTTCGGATACTGGAATACTTGGAGTCGCAGACCTGAAGCAGTATTACAGGAAATTAATTACTGTAGTATTATTCGCTATAGAATCTAGGTATTGATTGGCCAGTCGCGGTCATGTGAAACCTCAGACAAAATCGGCTGGGCGGATATCATGACGTCATAATGAGTTCACGTGACTTGTCACGCCCTAATTGACGATCTCATTCATACCATACTCACAGTCCGATGGCGGTCACGTGATAGGTCACACATATTAAAGATATTGCCTTTTAACCAGTGCTTATTTCTTTGTTTGGTTGTTGTTTAACGTCGCACTCAGAAATATTCCAGCTATATGACGGCGGTCTGTAAATAATCGAGTCTGGACCAGACAATCCAGTGATTGACATCATGAGCATCGATCCACGCAATTGGGATCGAGGACATGCATCAACCAAGTCAGCGAGCCTGACCACCCGGTACAGTCATTCGCCTCTTACGACAAGCATAGTCGCCTGATACGTCAAACATGGGTTGCTGAAGACCTATTCTATATAACCCGGATCTTTACGGGCCTTTAACTTGTGAACGGTATGATTTGCATATATCAGTAGCGGGTTTAACGAGCTGAAAATTCTCGTTGTGTACATGATCAAACCAGCGCGTAAAATCCCACACACTCCGCTAGTGACATTATCATAAACAGTAGCTTTTCCTGTAAATAAAGCGACAAAACCCTTTCCATGTCCAATAAAAATAAAAGTCGATAGTACGATTCCGACTATATCATGAACATGTGTTTATAAATCACTTTCAAATAGTGATGATAGTATTCGCAAAACGAACGAGAGTTCTGCCCCACCGGTGACATTCGTCACAAACACACGCTAAGGCAAGTCAATTGTTCACCTGAAAATCACGTCTTCGCGCGTTTCTCAAAAGGTTCCCATATATAAGGGTTCGTTAAAAGACATCCAACAGACTCATCAGTTTCTAAAATAGGACTGTGGTCAAGGAATGGTTATAGAGATAGATTATAGTTATGTAAAAGGCTCTGTAACTGTAGGGGGCACGGGTGGCCCAGTCGTCTGAGGCGCCGCGATTCGCTGTGCAGAGTTGCGTCCCTTGGGCATGCCAGAAACCTATGATTGTGGGTTCGAATCCCGGTTCGCCCCGATTATGTTTCTACGTTTGTCAGCACCATGCCCGTGCTCGTGGATTTCACCGAAGTGGTAAACGTCTGAGACCTGCATTACTTCGGGCTTTCCTCCCACATTAAGCTGACACGCCGTGATGTAACTGGAATACTGTTAAAATCGGCGTTAAACCCATCTAACTCACTGTAACTGTAACAAAAGATTTATTCTGTGCTCATATTACAACCAATGTTGTTGTCAATATTGTCCGCCCAGTAAACACTTGCAGCAATATATTATATACAGCAAAAGAGTATATATCATTTAGACAAGTGTATCAACGATAATGCTGATCGTGGTTCATTCGCACCTGAATGAGTTGGCGACCTGATCAGACGTTCGGAGAAAGAGTGAGTGAGTGAGTATGGTTTTACGCCGCTTTTAGCAACATTCCAGCAATATCACGGCGGGGACACCAGAAATGGGCTTTACACATTGTACCCATGTCGGGAATCGAACCAGGGTCTTCGGCGTGACGAGCAAACGCATTAACCACTAGGCTACCCGACCGCCCCGTCGGAGAAAGAACAAAACAAATGAGAGACTACCACAGAGACTTTCACGTTGTCATACCATTGATACACGCTTACAAATGCATGTTCTTTGTAACATAATGCATGTCTATAGTCGTATTACCCAATCAGCTTACACACCCGGCCTGCAGTGCTAAATAAGCCTTCCCTCCTCGTTAGCGCTTTCAAGATTCGTTTTGGTTGTTAGAAATACCGACCTCAAAATACATACTTTTAATTGAGCGCAACAGCGTTAAGTTAATGTTCCCCGCACTGTTTTTCTCTGCCATCGATGTACATCATACTGGCCACATAATGATGCAAGAAACATCTATCACTATCACATGATACTTGCACTTTAACATGTGATATCAAGTATATATTATTGATTAATACCAATTATTAATGACGTCTTCATCACAAATGTTCTCTGTGTATGTCAAGTATTCGTTGATGCTTCCAACATAGAAACGAGACAGCCACCCCTAAACTCTCTCCTTTATAAGACGCTGACTTCACTCACACTAACAGCATCATCTTCCATCGTTCAGTATTCTCCTCTATGAAAGGCCTCCTCAATCTATGCTCATACACAATGAATCTTTAGAAACTCCCTTTTAAAAATACTGGATCCGCCCTTGTAATACATGGCTATTCGATGGTGATGCATAGCATAGTCGTTTTTTCAATGTTAAGTTTATGATGTATCGGGGGCAGTTTTCAGCCTGGTATGGTTCGGGTAACGTTTGTAATATGTTGGTCAAAACTAATTTTAATTTTCTTTTGCCAGGCAGTTTATTTAGTATACGCCAATATGCCAATATATCTAGAGTGAGTGAGTGAGTATGGTATTTACGCCGCTTTTAGCAATATTACAGCAATTTCACGGCGGGGGACACCAGAAATGGGTTTCACACATTGTACCCATGTCGGGATTCGAACCCGGGTCTTCGGTGTGGCGAGCGAATGCTTTAACCAGTAGGTTACCCGACCCCCCCAAAAAAAAAATAAAATAAAATAAAAAATAAAAAATAAATAAAATAAATAATAATAATAAAAATATTTATTTTTTCTTATCTAGAACGATAAATGTAAAGAAAGGTGTTATGAGACATTTCTTAAATCAGTGTTCACTTATGTTTCTTAACGGTCCTTAGACATTATCTAAATATTTTGAAGCAGTTAGTTGGTCTTTTCGGTCTTTTATTCTTGCAATTAACATACCATTCTTGCTTTGCGGAGTAGAGCTTCCTGCTTATGACCTGAAACAAACAAACGATACATATAATTCATATATATAATAACAATTTTTTACAATAATTATTATAACGATAATAATTAAGGGCCAAACCACCGATCGAGCCATCAATGCACTTGTCCAAGAATCGATGTCAATACATCGATGACCAGTACAAATATCAACAGTTAATATCGATATCGCGATACATGTACACAATCGATAGTACATATAGTGACTCCAATACATGGCACACGCTTCAGACTTTGCGATATTGCCGAAAAATATTAGGAAATCTTCATTGTAGGAAGATAGAGGTACTTAATTAACTGTCGCAATATTAAACTGAGGAGCAAAAAATTGCTCTCTGTTGATGTTATCATTATGTTTGATTTGCAAATGAAAATACTGAAGTTAGCGATATCATATCCAAAACATGAACTACCGCCGCTTAATCAATACTCAAACATGTTTCTACGGGGTTTCATTTAAAAAAATAAATAATTTGATTTAAACCTAATAAAAGTGCAAAAGAAAACTCGCATAATACACAACTGTTGGTGGGTATCTTAGACATCTTATCTTTGAAAATCAATAAATGTACTTTTATCAGCACAAATTTGTGCAAATTCATTACTTATCCCAGTCGTCATTGAACCAATTTATTTTTACACAAAAATTACCCAGACACATATTACATTTTCCAAACTGTTGCAGGAATGAGTGACGGTTAAATAGACATAATCAAATGATAGAAGTGTTCTTTCAAATTTCAATTACATTAAAAACAAACTCGGTATACTTTCGTTTTCCCCTCAGTTTATTACAACAGTTTAACCTATTCAATATTGTTTTTTACCATCTTAATAGTAATGGAATAGTGGATTGTCGTCGTTAGTCACGTTGGTGATGATGATGATGATGATGATACTACTACTAATAATAATACTAACATATCACACTACTATGAAATTACTACCCTGGAAGTGATGTATTGTCGGATCTGTTAACAGTTTACACTCTGTCTATCCATCTCATCTAAGTACACGTTTTGCCGAGACAGAGATAATATTTAAGTATTTTCAGCTTTTCTTTTAACAGTAAATCGTGATATAAATGATGATTTGATATGGATAGATATCATTAATGCTCAGTCCCTCAACCCATGTGGTTAACACTTCAACACTTTTACGAGGGATTAAGTCGATTGTACACGTATATTAACCTTAATCGCATGTACACCAAACACATAACAATTGGAGTTCGAGTGGCATTGAAGTGCTTAAACCATCTCCTTGTGCGCTTGTAAATGTGATTCAGTACACCAACCACGCATATTCATCTGATCGCTCCCCAACACCACGTTAGTCGATAGAAATACCGCCACAGAAAACAGCCAGCGTCTAGAATAGATTGTATTAACTTTTTCTCACTTGGACGTCCATTCTAAACAAACGGATCACAATAGCGATTCTTTCTGAAAAGTAGGTATGTTTGTGCCTGAGAGTTAAATATTTGATGTCAATATGGTATATTTGTGCATTCGTCTCAAGGTGGGCGTTGTAGCTTTGTCATTATAAAGGCGGGAAATTTCCCCCCTGACATACTATTGACACACTTGGATGTGCTATACATAAAGATCTACACGTTGAATACTTTTATGCAAGTAGGTAACCTTTATGGCGTAAAACATGTCCACCTAAGAGGCAAACTGCCACAGATGTGTGCTCTATATTGACATTACATATGATGTATGCTCTATATTGACATTACATATGACACATACAGTAACGGGAAAAATCAATTCATCAAAGTAGAGAACCCAAATATGAATTATGAAGGACACAGAGTGCTGAATTTGTTGAAATAAGCAAAACAAAAATGATTTAAGTTTTTAAAAACCCTTTACAATTCCGTAATATTAACATTGTGAGTCACTGCGTTCAGTTGGACTGCGTTTCGATTTGAGTGTTACTGTGTTGGATTGGTCTGTGTCTAATGAGAAAAGTGATAAAGACGTTGTGTTAAGCTTGACTGTCATTAGTCATTGACAGCGTTGACTGCATCCAGTGTCATTGTCACAGCGTTGTCTGTTTGTCACTGCGTTGACTGTTTGTCACTGCGTTGACTGTTTGTCATTGCCTTGACTTTTTGCAACTGCGTTGGCTGTTTGTCACTGCGCTGGCTGTTTGTCACTGCGCTGGCTGTTTATCACTGCGTTGACTGTTTGTCACTGCGTTGACTGTTTATCACTGCGTTGACTGTTTGTCACTGCGTTGACTGTTTGTCACTGCGCTGGCTGTTTATCACTGCGTTGACTGTTTGTCACTGCGTTGACTGTTTGTCACTGCGTTGACTGTTTGTAACTGCGTCGACTGTTTGTCACTGCGTCGACTGTTTGTCACTGCGTTGACTGTTTATCACTGCGTTGACTGTTTGTAACTGCGTTGACTGTTTGTAACTGCGTCGACTGTTTGTCACTGCGTCGACTGTTTGTCACTGCGTTGACTGTTTGTCACTGCGCTGACTGTTTGTAACTGCGTCGACTGTTTGTCACTGCGTTGACTGTTTGTCACTGCGTTGACTGTTTATCACTGCGTTGACTGTTTGTAACTGCGTTGACTGTTTGTAACTGCGTCGACTGTTTGTCACTGCGTCGACTGTTTGTCACTGCGTTGACTGTTTGTCACTGCGTTGACTGTTTGTCACTGCGCTGGCTGTTTGTCACTGCGTTGACTGTTTATCACTGCGTTGACTGTTTGTCACTGCGCTGACTGTTTGTCACTGCGTTGACTGTTTGTCACTGCGCTGGCTGTTTATCACTGCGTTGACTGTTTGTCACTGCGTTGACTGTTTGTCACGGCGCTGGCTGTTTGTCACTGCGCTGGCAGTTTGTCACTGCGTTGACTGTTTGTCACTGCGTTGACTGTTTGTAACTGCGTTGACTGTTTGTAACTGCGTCGACTGTTTGTCACTGCGTTGACTGTTTGTAACTGCGCTGGCTGTTTATCACTGCGCTGGCTGTTTGTCACTGCGCTGGCTGTTTATCACTGCGTTGACTGTTTATCACTGCGTTGACTGTTTGTCACTGCGTTGATTGTTTATCACTGCACTGGCTGTTTATCACTGCGTTGACTGTTTGTCACTGCGTTGACTGTTTATCACTGCGTTGATTGTTTATCACTGTGCTGGCTGTTTGTCACTGCGTTGACTGTTTGTCACTGCGCTGGCTGTTTGTCACTGCGCTGACTGTTTGTCACTGCGCTGGCTGTTTGTCACTGCGTTGACTGTTTGTCACTGCGCTGACTGTTTGTCACTGCGTTGACTGTTTGTCACTGCGCTGGCTGTTTGTCACTGCGCTGACTGTTTGTCACTGCGTTGACTGTTTGTCACTGCGCTGGCTGTTTATCACTGCGTTGACTGTTTGTCACTGCGCTGGCTGTTTATCACTGCGCTGGCTGTTTATCACTGCGTTGACTGTTTGTCACTGCGCTGGCTGTTTATCACTGCGCTGGCTGTTTGTCACTGCGCTGGCTGTTTATCACTGCGTTGACTGTTTGTCACTGCGCTGGCTGTTTATCACTGCGCTGCCTGTTTATCACTGCGTTGGCTGTTTATCACTGCGCTGGCTGTTTATCACTGCGCTGGCTGTTTGTCACTGCGCTGACTGTTTATCACTGCGTCGACTGTTTGTCACTGCGCTTGCTGTTTATCACTGCGTTGGCTGTTTATCACTGCGCTGGCTGTTTATCACTGCGCTGACTGTTTATCACTACGTCGACTGTTTGTCACTGCGCTGGCTGTTTATCACTGCGTTGGCTGTTTATCACTGCGCTGGCTGATTATCACTGCGCTGGCTGTTTATCACTGCGTCGACTGTTTGTCACTGCGCTGGCTGTTTATCACTGCGCTGGCTGTTTGTCACTGCGCTGACTGTTTGTCACTGCGTTGACTGTTTGTCACTGCGCTGGCTGTTTATCACTGCGTTGATTGTTTATCACTGTGCTGGCTGTTTATCACTGCGTTGACTGTTTGTCACTGCGCTGGCTGTTTATCACTGCGCTGGCTGTTTATCACTGCGCTGGCTGTTTATCACTGCGTTGACTGTTTATAACTGCGTTGACTGTTTATCACTGCGCTTGCTGTTTGTCACTGCGCTGGCTGTTTGTCACTGCGTTGACTGTTTGTCACTGCGTTGACTGTTTATCACTGCGTTGACTGTTTGTCACTGCGTTGACTGTTTGTCACTGCGTTGACTGTTTATCACTGCGTTGATTGTTTATCACTGTGCTGGCTGTTTGTCACTGCGTTGACTGTTTGTCACTGCGCTGGCTGTTTATCACTGCGTTGACTGTTTATCACTGCGTTGACTGTTTGTCACTGCGCTGGCTGTTTGTCACTGCGCTGGCTGTTTGTCACTGCGTTGACTGTTTGTCACTGCGTTGACTGTTTATCACTGCGTTGATTGTTTATCACTGTGCTGGCTGTTTGTCACTGCGTTGACTGTTTGTCACTGCGCTGGCTGTTTGTCACTGCGCTGGCTGTTTGTCACTGCGCTGGCTGTTTGTCACTGCATTGACTGTTTATCACTGCGTTGATTGTTTATCACTGTGCTGGCTGTTTGTCACTGCGTTGACTGTTTGTCACTGCGCTGGCTGTTTGTCACTGCGTTGACTGTTTGTCACTGCGCTGGCTGTTTGTCACTGCGTTGACTGTTTATCACTGCGTTGACTGTTTGTCACTGCGCTGGCTGTTTGTCACTGCGCTGGCTGTTTGTCACTGCGTTGACTGTTTGTCACTGCGTTGACTGTTTATCACTGCGTTGATTGTTTATCACTGTGCTGGCTGTTTGTCACTGCGTTGACTGTTTGTCACTGCGCTGGCTGTTTGTCACTGCGCTGGCTGTTTGTCACTGCGCTGGCTGTTTGTCACTGCATTGACTGTTTGTCACTGCGTTGACTGTTTGTCACTGCGCTGGCTGTTTGTCACTGCGCTGGCTGTTTGTCACTGCGTTGACTGTTTGTC